GTGTGTGTGTGTGTGTGTGTGTGTGTGTGTGTGTGTGTGTGTGTGTGTGCGTGCGTGCGTGTGTGTGCGTGCGTGTGAGATTATGTCACTGTATATCAGATCAGGTTGCTATTTACTAAAGAGAAATGACCATTATGATTATTAACGGTGTAATTACGTTCACGACCAACACCACTCAGTAAATGTGATACTTGGTGTGCGACGGGTGGAGGGCGCTGTGCGGCGAAGAACCAGTGTAAAGCGGAGAATGCGCTCCGATTCCTTCGAGGCTTTTTGTCTGAAGGGAATGCGAGTCGTCAGACTTTAGTCTGGTCTGTAGGGCCGCAGTGCGGGGGGCCCGTGCCTCGCCCTTTTGTTTTTATACCCGTGCAAGAATGCAAAACAATTATAATTCCCTCAGGGATAAGTCGCCGCTCCTTGGGAACCGAGCGCACGTAATCGCGAACGATTCTCGTATCTTGTATCTCATTTCGCTTGCGGTTAAAAAAAAATTGCTTAATTGGATTAGGTTGCGGTCGAGGGTATTGGCAAAAGAGATGCGTTAAAGAGAAAGATAACAAAGCATTGCCTAAACCGGGAGTGGTCTAGGCAGTTCAAAGAGCGACAGGGACGCGAGCCTAGTGCGGTCACTCACAGGCACCGACTCTGGCCAATCCATTTACGTTAATTACGCAGAGATGGGGATAAATCGGCGTCCAGCCGTCCACCGTCGAGTTACGAGCGAGCCGACTATAAAATAAATTATACCCACTTCGTTCGCCTCTACTCAGTTTTTTGTTGCCGTCCACGGCGAACGAAGAAAAAAAAATAAAAAGTAAAATCTCAAGAGGACGAAATACGAGGCAAAGACAAAGCTTAAATTTATCTACTGATAATATAGACGTACGTAGGGCGGCGGCGGGCGCGGCAGACGCAGAGTTACCGGGTGGCCGGGTGGCCGGCCAAATTATACAGGCAGGCATTCCTGCGCCCCGGCAAAAACATGATATATAGCCGCCTTGTGACGAAATATTTGAGATTTGGAGATCTGCCACACTCTAAACGGAATCTACCTTCAATAGTATCTTCGAGATGTCTTTATTTGCACCTTATTATTTAACTAACTATTGTGTGTCGATCATTGAGTGATCTCATATATTTAAAATATACTGCCCACAGAACGGACAACTGCTGTATAAAGTACGCATAGTTGTGCCTTTTTTCGTTACGAGGGTAGTATAGCACTTTTGAACTCATGAAAACTTCTAAACTCACAAGTATTAAAAAAAAAAAGATAGTAGAAGAAATATAGATAGAAATATTAGATATATATATTAATACACGTAGAGCTCCTTGTGAAAGAGTTCGTCTAGGGAAGTACTATCACCTTACCTGTTTCTGTCGCCAAGCCGTAATGTGAGCATCACTGCGTTCCGGTTTTGAAGGGTAAGGGTGCTGGTGAAATTACAGGCATATGGACTTATGTCTCAGTCTCAGTCTCAGTATGATTTAAAGCTCTGAATGGCACTGCAACTGTTATGTACATGCGTGTCGATTACCACCAGGCCCACAACTTGTTCGTCCCGGCACTTGGTATCATAAAAAAAATTATAAAATTAGTTCTGCTGTGAATAGGATTGAGTGATGGTAATGAATTGATAGTATTTCCAGATATGATAATTAAAAGACTATAAAAAGACCCTGCTTGTCTAGAGATTTACACGAAAACCTTACGTAGACAATAAGAACCCATTTAAAAAAAACTCAATATCAATTAACATTTAGTAGGTGTTTTATTCAACCTGCAGTTTAAAAAACACAATTTAAAACTCTTAGTCAGAAAGTAATACTAATTAAATAATATCCCTATCTAACCACTTATTTCATTTTAGTGCTATAGTTACTAAATCAAAGTCCCTTTTGTATTATACCATTAAAGATATAATATGAAGGACCATAAAATAGCCGAATGGTCTCATTAATGTCATTTGTATGGGGCTTTAGTAGGTAATGAGTTCATTCATTATACTTGTTCGCCGTCGACGTCCTTACAAGAAGGTCAATGTGACCACTGTATAAGTAGCAACCACCGATATTTTGACTACAACTCTTTCAAAATTATTACGAGACCGGCCTTAATACTTACATGATTTTATTGTGAATTTACTCGTAGAACCTTTTGCAAATTATACATTCTTTATACATGATTTACTAAAACAATTATAGACGCTGACAATATGCTTACGGGCCCTGTAATGACACAAGTAAGATTGACAATAGTTTTCTTGTTGTCGGTAGAAGCAATTTAAAAATCGACAATATATAGGGCCAAATTTAATTTGTTAGCCTATACAGGCTTCCATCTTAGAATATTTATATTCCGAAATTCTTGTCGGTAATTTCTTCTTCCAACATTTACTTTCGATATAAATAATTACGACTCTAATATTTTGGAAAATACTTTAAAAAGACAAGTTATTTCAACAAGTATAAAGAATCAATTTTTAACACACCTACCGCAATACAGGGGAGGTGATCGCTACAAAAAATAATTACTAAATCATATTTACATTGTCTTTTTTCTGTAATATTCCCAAGTCATTAAATTCAATTCATATTGAATCTCCAATTTGAAGTAACTGATTTAAACCTTTGCGGTAACGTCTACGTAATTATATAATTGAAATAATAACACACTATCCGTATGTACAGAAGCAATGTTACCTACTTCTTTGTTTATTTGTCTCTACAAGATCTTATGTAACTTCCGCTCTTTATTTAAAATAAAATTCATTTATAATTTATATCTTTTATTATATCATCATCTTCAATAAAATTATAATTACACGAATATATACACAAATAGAATATGTACAATTTTGGAGGCCACGTCTATATTTACACTGGGTCCACGAGGTATCACTAGGTCCGCACTGGCACTGAGAGGCGGCTGTCATCGGCAGCCGCAGCTCAACACTGACATGTCCTTATAGTTTTTGAGCACCACATTGTTCGTTTCGTCCATGTACAACATGGAAATTGAAGCTAGCTGCGTCGGCACGCAGCACGCTTTCGGCACTGCAGCCGGATTCACCAAGTTTACCAGATTCTGCACTATGGCGTGGTTGGTGGAGTTCAAATGGCTCGGAATCGGATACGGGCAGTCGCCTTGGCAGTAGTACGCCTCGTACCCCAGAGGAGCCACGATCCAGTCTCTCCAACCTACTTCCTCGAAATCCACGTACAGTGGCCGCCGCTGGCAAACATCACTATGGTGGGACTGCTTTCGGCGGCACTTTACGCCAGCGCAACGGCCTCGCCTTTTCGTCGCACGCTTACTTCTTTGCAAGAGAGTCTCTCCGTTCTCTCGTGCTGTCCTCGCACGCTCATCTTCCGTGTAGACTAGTAGCAGCGGCTGTCGAGCTCGCCACTCGTCCTCCTCTTCGTCCGCGCGTCTTCGCACGCGCACGTGAGGAAAACGCGCATTCATACTCTGTGCACCATCCTCCTCTATCACTCGCACTAATAGTCCATGATTGTTCCGCGGCTCGACGAGCCAACGACGCACAGCACTTAGAGCGTCCGCCGTCACCGTACTATCACCAGGTCGTAGTGATAGCGAATCCAGGAGCCTCAGTATGGGCTCAGTGTTGCCGCGCCGACCAGGCTGTACCACATCGTAGAGCAGCAGGCGCTGCACGCCAGTGGTGCCTGTTGCACGGTGGAACGTGACATGGGCGCCACGCGCTATTTCGTCGGCGGGCACGGCACTAAGGTTGAAGTACAGACGAAAGCGGTGCTCGTGCGGGAACCGTGCGTCCAATTTGGTGGGTGTGTGGTGGAAGGAGCGCACCGTGTTGGCAGCGGGTGCGGGCAGAGCGCCGCGGGCGTCGTAAAGCAGACGCATGGCGCGCGGCACGGGCGGCGGAAGCGCGGCGCGGCGTGGCGGCCGTCGTGGCAAGCCCAGCATGGTCAGCAGGTGGCGCTCGGTGGCGGCGCGTGTCGCCTCGTCCAGCGCCGCGACATCCACCGCGCAAAGCGCTACCAACGCGCACACCACCGCGCACGCGCACGCCGCACGCATAATTTTTCTCGGCCCACCTGGAAAAATACAGAATTCAATGTTAGTAAACATTGAAATGTAAAACAATTTCTTGTATACACATTACCTTGCAATCAATGTCATGACATGGTGTTTTTAATGGGATTTTTTGAAATAAACACTTTTTAAACTAATGTTACAAAGAAAATTAATTAAAAAGTTCTATTATTATTTAACGCTTAGAGCTTGATTTCTTGCTATTTTTCGCAAGTAGCGTTCTAGTTGTCGCTGTAACCGGGATTTAGCAGTCCACCTTGCCGATCAACCTTCTGACACTACCTATACTCATAACCGAAACTATTCAGGTCAAGTTTTGAAAAGTATTTCACTTTGCTTATAATCATGTATTATCTAAGTACCGATTAGCTTATTATGATATCAAAGCCCACGACAAATTATTTGCTAAAACCAGCCACAGCAAAGTTCCCACGGGACTTGCAAAAAATGCTTTATTGAATATATTATTGTTTTAAGAGTGTTTTTGGGAATAGTTATTGTTTAGTTTATAGTTCGCCTCGCCTGCGTGCTCCGAATGTTGTAACGTTTCTATTCATGAAAGACAATTGACTCTAGATATTGTGCTTGTGGTTGCAAGTTGTTGCTGGTACTAAGTCAGATTTCCAGAGAAGTCGCATTGCCGGTTCGCGTAAGGGCACTGTGACAAAGGGCCACATTATATGGGACCGGTACTGTCTATCTGTGTTTATCTGTGTTTCTGATGAATGCACAATACTTTGTAATGTAATACATGATATAACAAGTTCATTTGATGCACGTATAAATTTCAAAATTATACTAATCGATTAGACCTTACATACTAGCCGAACTTAATCATAGTTGATATGGGTGCACAATTTAATTCTATAGTTAGAATAAGTAACTACAGTTACATAAATTACTATAGTTTAATAGAATCGATCAAATTTTGATGTTAATTGAATGATAATTTCTTTAAAAACCGATGGCATAAGGTCCTTGGAAAAGTTCTAATTTAACTCATCGCAACAATCGTAATTTTCAAGAACCACATAAACAATTAATCTTCATTACATTATTATATTACTAGTAATACAGGTACTTAAAACAAACGTACTCACTGAAAAACTAATGAGCCGGTTCCTGTTTTTTGATTTTTTGTAGCCTTAATATGGCCAAAAAGATTTCGAAGATGATTTTTAAGTCCATGTTGAGTAGTGACTTTTTGATGACTTGTATAAATGCTCCCACTCCCCGCACCATATGCACGCTACGCGATAAACTCGCAGTGATTCTAGTACTATGCAAATGTAATGTTGTTTATTGGCATTGATGCTACCGAGGATGCATGCGCATCAACCTAATGAGATAATCTTCACTCATACACATATTTCAACTGTCAAGTACCACTACAATCTATACAAACCAACTTGTTATACACATAGTAAATACATTCCGCAATGCCTTAAGACTTGTTTACCAGAATTGCATCAAATAAACTTTTGAAAAGTTTATTCAAATAACGGAAAACGGGTCGCAACTTCCCAAATCACGCGGTCGTTTGATGGGAAAGCTTTTGGTGATTATAATATTTTGGTAGAAATTAAATCATGGTCAATTTGAAAAGCTATCAAAAGGCAGATCATTAAAAAGCCCATGTTGTGTTGCAGAGTTACATAAACATGCAATGCAAACATCGACTTATTGCGCAGACGCTTTCCAAAATTTTCGAGTAAAAGACATCAACGGGGTGCTTTTCACCTTTTTCCCGAACTTATACTATCTCATATAGTGTTAAACTTCTTGCGTAATGTTGGAACTTTTGTAATACAAACAACTGAAAGAACTGACATTACAAGTTTTGTTTACGAAATGGTACACAACGTCGCAATCACTGCTTCAAGTGTGATCGGTCGCCTAGATGGGAATCCACCTGTACACAAACAGGTCGGTGTCGAATTTATATATGTATTTTGTTGTTATAATGTTTTGATCGTTCTAGCACGGTCGACCGGATCACGGCGTACGTATTTCGAAAATAATGCGGTCAAACCAGCCGCAGGCGCACGACCGCTCGCCTCTCTCACTCACCCGAAATTTTAACGCATCCAACGTCGATATGTGCACAAAATCCGCGATATGCTGTGAGCGTTCGAGACAGAGTCAACGCTTCGGGAACAAATGAAACCGCACTCGTTCACAATCGAACTGATGGCACATAACAACAGAGCAGTCTGGTAACATCACTGGCGCGTGTGAGTTCGCGAGAGCGGGCGCGTTGCCGGCGTGCGGGCGGGACATGGACGCGCATGGCGTGCTCGCGGCTCGAAGCTCGCGGGCCGAATGACGGAGCGCCCAGACGCGGCGGCGTCTCCTCGCTGTCAAGCGGGAGCCGCCGCCGCTTGAGCCCGCGCCCGCGCCCGCGCCGCGGGCGTGCGAGCGCCGGCCCCGCCCCGCCCCGCGGCGCCGCCCCATCCCCCCCCCCGCCCCCACCCCCCCCCGGCCCACCCCCCCCCACCACCCCCCCTGGGGCCTCCCCGGCTAAGCCGACCCCC